ATCTATTTCTCCTTCTGTAAAGCCCCCCCCTCCCCCATCTATTTCTCCTTCCGTAAAGCCTTGACTGCTTTAGATTGTCAGCTGATAGGGGAGAGAGAAATGGTGGCTGGAGGTCTACAAGCTGACTGGAGGTAGATTGGGGTACGACCGGAATGAGAGGCGCTCTGGTCTTTCATTGTAAATGTCCAGTGACTTTGGGATTCTTGTGTGAACCTCAACTGCTTGGGGGTGGCTGCACTTCCACCCAACAGGACCCCAAACTGCAGAAGGGACCTTGGAGAAGTCAGTTGAAGTAAAGGAAGGTGCCACCCAACAGAGTCCAATAGAGCTGCAGCTAACGATTATTTTCAAAATCGATTAGTTAGCCGATTATTAAGTTCGATTAATCGGTTAATCGGATATAAAATAAAATACATTTTTAAAAATGGCTCCAGTGATGGGACTATTTTTTTATTGAGATTGTAGTCCATCACAAGAGCAAGCTTGGAGCGGTGGAAGTAAAAAAGATAGTGTGGCGTGCAATATAGTGAAATGAGAAGTGTAAATCTTGACTGCTTTAGATTGTCAGCTGATAGGGGAGAGAGAAATGGTGGCTGGAGGTCTACAAGCTGACTGGAGGTAGATTGGGGTACGACCGGAATGAGAGGCGCTCTGGTCTTTCATTGTAAATGTCCAGTGACTTTGGGATTCTTGTGTGAACCTCAACTGCTTGGGGGTGGCTGCACTTCCACCCAACAGGACCCCAAACTGCAGAAGGGACCTTGGAGAAGTCAGTTGAAGTAAAGGAAGGTGCCACCCAACAGAGTCCAATAGAGCTGCAGCTAACGATTATTTTCAAAATCGATTAGTTAGCCGATTATTAAGTTCGATTAATCGGTTAATCGGATATAAAATAAAATACATTTTTAAAAATGGCTCCAGTGATGGGACTATTTTTTTATTGAGATTGTAGTCCATCACAAGAGCAAGCTTGGAGCGGTGGAAGTAAAAAAGATAGTGTGGCGTGCAATATAGTGAAATGAGAAGTGTAAAATTATACAGCAATGAATGCAGAATGGCACCGGCTATAGAGGACTCCAAATCCCAGCAATAGTACATTATACAGCACAATGCAGAATACCACCAGCTATAGAGGAATACAACAAATCCCAGCAATAGTACATTATAGCTGACGGTATTCTGCATTGCGCTGTATAATGTAGTGCTGAGTTTTGTAGTCCTCTATAGCTAGTGGTATTCAGCATTGCACTGTATATTGTACTGTTGCTGGATTTTGTAGTCCTCTATAGCTAGCGGTATTCGGCATTGCACCACTGTATAATGTATTGCTGGGCGTGAGGTGGGGAAGAGGTGGCGGCGCGCAGCTTGTGTGGAGCCGTGAACAGGGCCAACTAATCAGAGGCCGATTAATTGATGATTGAAAAAGTTGACAACGTTTTCAATAATCGATTATAATCGATTATAATCGATTATGTCGATTAGTTGTTGCAGCCCTAGAGTCCAAGATGGATATCTATGGATAGAGCGCCAGGATGTTTTGGAGGCACACAATCCCCCTTCATGAAGGCTTGAGGTGCAATTCATAGAGGAATTATTTTGGAGAATTGGATATGAGCTCTGAATGACACCTCAAGGGTCACCATTGACCATGCACCTTTAGATCTACTAAGGCTATGTAATATTAGGACCCGCCTAAACAATTCAATTTATATCCAATCAGGCCAGCTCTTGTAGTATACTGGTTACTTGGTAAGTTTTAAGATTATACAATCATATTGTAACATGAATGGTGACCTTAGGGTTGATTGTACAAATATTGTAGGGTTAGATTACAATGTGAATGGTCACCCTTACATTCTTACCATACAAACAACTTTATATATACCAAAATGTGTTGTGCACCTACCAAAACTCAATTTCTATCAGGCCGGCACTAGTATAATCTACTCTTTAGTAGACCCAAAGGAAATTGTACAATCAGATTGTGTGGGGGAGGTTTAGCAGCAGAATATTGGATGTGGTTCTCATGGATCAGTTTTCAGAGACGTGGCCTTGTATCCTTAGACTTGTTTTGTAATGTACGGCGATAACCAGACGGTTCATTATCATGGCCGCTCTATGTAGGTGAGAGGTCACCAGGAGGGTGGAGGAGGTTTCGTCTCCCAGGCGTTCAATAAACATTGCTCATTGTCCCGCCCAGCTGGCTGCGGTGGAACAGAGAACCAGATTCAGGATGTGCTTCCTTCAGGCTAGAGTCACACCTAGGAGATTGAGCTGTTTTCGTGCATTTGCATTTGTGCGACTGTTCATTGAAAACCGCACGGTCGTCGCACGGTTTTCAATGCATAGAGATGTCTATGGGACCCAGAACGCGTGCAAACCGCCAGAAAATGGCTCCTGCACCTTTTTTGCGTGACAGGCGATTTCATCTGTGACAAACCTCAAAGCTGTGAACGGCCTCCATTGACTTCAATGCGAAGCTGTGTCGCAATATCGCGCGTCTCAATCCGCACAATAAAGCGCCTAGGTGTAAACCTAGCCTCACAAAATCCTCCAATTTTGGGGACGCATTGTATCATTTGTAGTGTCATCTGTTCCAATCTTGTACATGTAAAACTTGCAAATGGGAAGAACAAATGCCCCATGTGGCCCCAGCCGAGGCCCATCCCAGGACTTGAATCATCCCTCTGCCTGTGGGAGTCATGCCTGTAGCTGTCGTTCTTGCAATGCCTCATGGGACTTGTAGTTCCACCACAGCTGCAGTGCTGAGTTTGCCAACCCCAAGTCTTCAACATGCAGCATTGTATGTAATAAACCATTGCCAAGTAACGGAAGGTCCTTGTGTCTCAATGTTGTCCTGAAAATGGAGGACGCCAGCGTTTGCCTCCATGTAGGAGTTCTACAAGATATTAAATATGTGTTTTTGTTCCCCTGCAGACTCCAGCGGCAGAGTTCGTTTGCCTTGTCTTGTCACTACAACAAATCCCCGGACACTCCAGTCCTTTTTGGGTTTATACATTCACAGTATAACGCCTCAAAATGGTTGGCTTCAAACCCACAGATGTCCCACCCACCGCGGCCGTGAAGTTCATCGGTGCCGGCACAGCAGCTTGTATAGCTGACCTGTTCACCTTCCCTCTGGACACCGCCAAAGTTCGACTTCAGGTAAGTGGTCCGTTCACCTGAAACTTGTATTTCAGTGTTTGATGGATACTGGGGTGGTACACATATCAAATGGTAGTTTTGGAATCTGTGCCCAGTTCTCAGGTTTGCACATGCCCGTTATGAGGGGTTCCCACCATCCCTGCATTGAGTTCCTGGGTCTGTACACCTGTGCCCATGAGGGGTTCCCACATCTCTACGCTGAATTCCCAAGACTGTACACCGAATCTGCTTTTTGAAGGGTTGACACCATCCCTGCACTGACTTCCTTTGGCTGTACACCTGCTGTGCCCATTATGAGGGTCTCCCACCATCCCTGTGCTGAGGTCCCACGTCTGTACAGCTGTTGTGCCCGTTATGAGGGGTTCCTACCACCCCTAAGCTGAGTTCCTGGGTCTGTACACCCGCTGTGCCCATTATGAGGGGTTCTCACCATCCCTGTGCTGAGTTCCTTGGTCTGTACACCTGCTGTGCCCATTATGAGGGGTTCCCACCATCCCTGAGCTGAGTTATTGGGTCTGTACACCTGCTGTGCCCATTATGAGGAGCCCCCACCATCACTGTGCTGAGTTCCTGGGTGTGCAGGTAGAAGGATCAGGAAATCATGGCAGGATCTTGCCATTGGGTGTATCCGAGATACATAAGAAGCCGGGGGACTGACTCAACCAATGGGGCTTCATCTAGATCTAAATGTTTTACCTTTTTTGTGTGGACCGAAATTACCTAAATGGACTTTTCAGTACCAGCCAAAGCCGAATGTTTTCAGACTTAATTTTGAACGAACTTTGTTTCCACAGATCCAAGGAGAAAGCAAGACCTCACTCAGTATGAAGACCGCCCAATACAAGGGCGTCTTCGGGACCATCTCCACCATGGTCAAGACAGAAGGGCCCCGGAGCCTATACAATGGCCTAGTGGCCGGTCTCCAGCGACAGATGAGCTTTGCGTCCGTCCGTATCGGACTGTATGATTCTGTCAAGCAATTCTACACCAAGGGATCAGAACGTAAGTGAATGTATCCTCCTATGATGTCTGCTCTTCAGCCTAAAATGTACTTCTCACCTTTTTGAGGATGGTTTGATGTATTTTGGGACACGTTACTTCAGTCTCTGCACCCAGCAGTATTTTGTGTTGGTCTAAACCTATGTCAAAGTGGACCTGTCTGAAGACAAATATTGTGGGCTGGACACTGTTATCCTCTACGTCTAGCCCTCCACAAGAACTAAAGGCTTTTGCCTTTGGCCATTTTTCAGTGCAATCCTGCCACTGTCCTAGTCAGCCAAATGTGACATTTTACCCCCTCATGACCTACCAGATGCTTGTATGGCACACTGTAGGTAAATATGGATCTGGGATCACATGACATCATGGGCCTGGGAGCTGTTGTCCCCTTTGCACCTCATGTAGTTGTCTTATTTTTACTTTGCCAGTCTCAAATGTAATGTATAAATGTAGAATTGTTGATCAACCTGATCCATCGAGCGCTCTTGGCAATTTCATACACTGTCCAGTTTAAATAAGCGTTATGGGATTGGCTTGTGAATGCCCTGGTCTTATCTGATCACTTCTTACAGATGTCGGAATTGGGAGCAGACTGCTTGCCGGCTGTACCACCGGAGCCATGGCGGTGGCCATTGCTCAGCCCACAGATGTGGTCAAAGTGAGATTCCAGGCCCAAGCCAACGTTTCCAGCGCTAAGCGGTACAAGGGAACAATGGATGCGTACAAGACCATCGCCAAGGAAGAAGGGATGCGTGGCCTCTGGAAAGGTCTGTCAAACTCTAATGTCATCACTTATAATGCTTGGGCAGCTGTTGGGTTTTAGGGATGGGCAGATATCAATGGGGAGGCAGGTGACTATTCAGTGTCTCTGCTCTATGGATATCCCCCAACCATCATAGCCTCCATAAGGAAGGGGTTATTGGAGCAAATAGTCTACCCATAGACCTAAGATGAATTGTTTTGTCAGTTCATCTAGGATTGAAGTTGGTGTACTGAATAGTCAAAAGCAAAAAATTTAATATTGGTTTACTGTTGTACAAAAGAATATTGCGACCTTAAATACAATCCCCAGGCAAACACTTCTTCTACAGGGGATAGGGTGAACTTGATAGATTGTGGTGTCTCCATTGGGAAGATTCCCCTTCTGTCCTGTCCCAGTGTTGCCCTCATTGAGACAAATTGAAACAAAGTCACACTTGTGTAGTAGTGAGCAGAGCTTGCAACAAATAAGGTTTTTCGCCAGTCTTTTGTCCTGGTGTCACTGGACAGAAGGTGGAGGGAAATCTTCCCAATGGGATCAACAATGGAAATAGTCCGCGTCAAACAGCTTTTGCTGGAGTTGTCCTTTAAGAATGCGTATTTGCTGTTACCAGTAGCCCTTCTGGATCTGGGGGCCTTATGTGTTTTGGGTATCTGGTTTGCTCCAGCAGAGGAAGTGTGGCTTATAAAGCCCTATTCCATGAAGCTTAGACTGGCCCAACCAGTGCAGTCTTGCTATAAAGCCATTAGCCATGAGTAATTAACCAATTATGCCGGTTCAACCAGCTTAGTCTTATTATAAAGCCAGAGGCCACAAATTCTTCACCAATTGGGTCTCGGTTCATCTCATGACCTGAGGTACTAGTCAGCATAACTTACTAGCTAGGCATGGGACACATTGGTTGAGGGTCTTGGCTCCTGGAATGACCATTAAACACATTTCCTTTAAATAGAATCCTAACATACATTTCTTGTCTTCACCCCCCACAGGAACTGCCCCAAACATCACTCGCAATGCCATTGTGAACTGTACCGAGCTTGTCACTTATGACCTCATCAAAGACGCCCTCCTGAAGTACAACCTTATGAGTGGTGAGTTTCTGGAGATATCCTCCTCAATCTGGAAATAAAGGGTAGAAATCCTCTTGCTGTAGAATTAAATGGATGCGATGGTGTCCTGGTACAAAACTGGGGCAGCTATTAGATTATCAAATGTGGCTGCATGAGGCTAAGAGGTGTCACCTGACTAGTCTCATTGGCTGGAAGATAGCCCGATTGCCTTGGCATTCTATCGCTATCAGTCCATCTTGGTTCAGATAATTTTCTGGAACTCTCAGTAACTGAATTTGATGGTTTATAGTGATATCAATTTAACATTCTGTGCATTCCAATAAACAGACAAAATGCTGAAGTGTACCGGAACTAGTCTTGACAGCCATTTAGTAGCTACTAGTTGGTGGAACAAAAACTTGTTGGTGGACATAGTTGTGCTGAACTAAATACGGACAGTCCTTGGAATCTGCAGTTGGGCTGTAGGCCGTGGGGCCATTGAGGTGTGGGGCCATTAAAGTGTATCTAAAGTCTGACAAAAATAAAAAATTTGCAGCTTACCATGGTTCTTATGCAATAACCTAAATCTTATGTGACTGTTGCAGACAATCTCCCATGTCACGTCACCTCTGCGTTCGGAGCTGGTTTCTGCACCACGGTGATCGCCTCCCCCGTTGATGTAGTGAAGACAAGATACATGAACTCTGCCAAGGGGCAGTATCGGAGTGCCCTGAACTGCGCCCTCACCATGGTTAAAAAGGAAGGACCATTGGCTTTCTACAAAGGGTGAGTTATAGGTCTGCATGTCGCAATGCAAACCACCCACATGTCACAACACCAACCGCACCACCAGCACCTCACAAACCTTCCTGGCTGCCCTACTGACATTGCTCTTTGCATACAGATTATAATGCAAGAGTCAGTAAATGGAGGATTTCACCTTAAAGTGCTCCTGTCATGAATGTCTGCGGCTGCCATTGTGGGTCTGCTTTTAACTAAGCCAAATTACCTGGCCGTCTGATTTTACACCAGTCCTGGAACCTGCATGCCGTACAGGCTGGTGGAAAATCAACATGTTCCAGATGAGCAAGAAAGTCAGCATTTAGGTCAGCAATGATGGCCAAAAAATTTCTCCTGGCTGGCGTTAAGCTCATAGACTGATTCACCAAGCTTCAAGTAGCACCGAAATGTGTGCTTAGTGCATTGAAAACCCAATTCTAGTGTTGGGAAGTTTTGTCTCACCGCTGAGGAGATCCACCCTCCTATTCCTGGTGACCACTGTCATGGACAAATGTGGTAAAAAATCAATGGTGTTGCCACTGGGACAGACTTTGAGGAACTGTTCAGATTGGGGATCTTTTTCTTGCCGACAACTGTCAGATTTAATTTTACACCTTGTCTGGACAGGAAGTAATGGGAAATCCCCAATAGGGCATGTATGAAAAGCTGAGGGGTGTTGACCTTTCTCTACTCCTATCCAGAAATTACAGATTTGGCTTCATCATGCCTTACACTGTTCAGCACCCGAAGTGCCATTGCAGCTTGATCCTGTCAGGGCCAATTCATCCTCTTAGTGGAACTCTCCCATTGGAGAATCTTCAGATGGAACCCACCATTCTAGGTCATATGCTAGTTTCAGGGCGGTGAAGTTGAATGTCAACCTTGGGACCTGGAACACAACCCTGTTACCTGGTTAGTATTTCAGCCAATGCATCACCATGACAGCTGGGCAATTTTTTTAGGTTCGAAAAGGTGGCTTAAAGGAGAACTATGGGGTCACGGCTTTTCCCCATAGTTCTCCTAAGGGTAACAGGAGGACACAAACTAGCGTCCTCCTGTGAAAGCTCAGACGCCGCAGCCGGGACGAATCCAGACATTACGGTCGATCCACCCAGCTGCGTGAGTGATAGCTGGCTCTGCCTATCTAGAGGCAGAGCCAGCTGTACCCGCCCCTTCCCCGTCCGTTCCGCCAGTCAGCGCTGGAGGATCGGACAGGGGAGGGGGGGAATCCCTGCAGGGCGCCGTGACTGACAGCCACCGCTCTCTGCAGGGACAGGATCGAGAAGTGAGCGAACGCCGGTATGTGTTCGCTCACTTCCCGATCTATTGAGCCGACCTGTGACAGTCTCATTGTCACAGGTCGGCTAGGAGTCAGTGATTTTCCCTCACCTCATAGTTCTCCTTTAAATTTGACTAGTTGCTTTAAAGTGAACCCACAGCGAAGTATGGGAGCTGCCATTGTGATTATCCTGATTTGAAACTTACTAGTTGGGGGAAGTCCCATGTGAACCATGTATGCATCCAGGAAAGTCTTAAAGCTGAACTCTGGGCACAACATAGAACCAATAACCATTGCACCAAGAACAATACACATGCCTCCTTGCATATAGAAGATAATAACTTATCCTTTAACAAATGTAGGACATGGGCCATGCCCAGCACATGCTGGTAGATCTGGAGCTCCAAATAGGGTTGCCACCTTTTCTTCCATCGAAACCCGAACACTCTAGCATCACACGGAAATTTCCTTGGAAGAATGAGTTGCGGCTTCTTCATATGTAAATAGTGCCACCCCTTCATATGGAAATATCACTGCTGAGACTTATTTTCAGTGGGGGGCCAGTAGCCCCTATCTTAATTTTGGTTTCTCTTGTGTGCCTGATATCTTGTGTCCGGGTTTCTGCTGCCATGAAACCTGGACACAGCATTCAAAACCCGAACTGTCCGGGTGAGTCCTGGACAGGTGGCAACCCTAGCTCCAAATGCCTCTGTATAGTTCCCCTCGCATTCTATTTTCTGGTTCCCCTCGCACTCAATGTACTTGTATGTTCATGTCCTGCCAGGTACTGACTACCCCTTTGTGTCCACAGATTCATGCCATCTTTCCTAAGGCTGGGATCCTGGAACATCGTCATGTTCGTCACGTATGAACAACTGAAGAGAGCCATGATGTCTGCTCGTACCTCCTGGGAGGCTCCTTTCTGATCATGATGGCACCATCATCCCCATCCCCCACCTTCCCTTTAAAATAAGAATGTGTCTACCTCTTGTAGCATTGTTTACTCTAGGTTTTAGCAGTCTAGATCCTCATACATTTGTTCCCCCTCCTCCTCTCCTTCCTGGAGAAGTGACCACTTTTTAAAAAATGTCTGCAGTGCTTTATTGACAATCCAGCAGCGGACAACATCGGGCAGCAGAGCTGTTCAATTTTAACGTTTCATTCATCAGCTAAGAGGAGCTGCAGCAGTTGATGTGCCGGATGTTGTCCGCTCCGGATTACATTTCCTTTGACGCTCTTCAGGTTTTTAAAGTTTCTGTGCCTTGTTTTAAAGAATCCCTTTTTAGTATAGTGGTTCACCTGGACGCCTTTCAACCTTCTACAGCTGTACTGAGCGTTTGGCTGCATTAAAGCCCAACTCGGCCAAAACCTTACTTTTGGGTGCGAAGGAAAGATTAGAACCCTCAAGCAACATTTTATTGCTGTCTATGGCCTTGTTTGGTGGATTTCCCATCACTCCTGTCCAATGCATCAGTGCCGGAACAGGAAGTGAGGCGAGATCCTCACTTATGTGGACGTATGGCAATAAAACATGGTGGGGAAGGGTATTGGAACCTTAGGTTTTAAATGCTGTCCATTTCCCTCAACTTCCTATTCTGTGACACCGGTTACGAAGACAGGAAGTAGAGAGACATTGCCTTGGAGGCACTTAGGTCTGCGTTTAAACACTGTCCATGCCAACAGAAGGAACCCCTTTTTGCAATCCTCTTGCCCACCCAAGACAATGGGCTAAAGCCTAAAGCAGGGGTGACACTAAAATTCCCATCATGCATCTGCCTCTGGCAGTCATGCTTCTGGCTACCAGTCTGGTAATTCCTGATGGAATTCTGGATTCACAACTGGAGGGTTAAAGTTTGACCCATTTGTAATCACCCAGAAAAAAAGTACCTGCATCAGTCAGTTTGATGCTTCAGGAGACATCACTGAACCGGGAATTTAATCAAGAGCATGTGCTCTTGCTCCCAGCTCTGCCAGAAGGCACGGTGATGTCCCCTTTCCACCCAGAAGCATTGAAGGCCAAAGTGTTTTTCTGGCAATTTGCTTTTTAAAGGGCCCCCAACACAAGTGTTTTTACAAAGCCATTTGATAGGGAGGGGGGAGGGGGGGGTGCAGGTCTTGCTAAAATAGTGGACCTTCTGTTTGGCATGGAAGGTCTGCTTTAATACCGGAGAGGCTCTAACCCTTCCAAACGCTACCCAAAGGTAAAACATTGGCTTTGTGCTTTGCCAAATTTGAACAAGCAGACTTGACAGAGCAATCATGTCACCTTGGCCATACAGCAGCCATCTTGTTCTCAAACATCTCGGGCTCTTCAGTCTGCGGAAGCGAGCTACGAAACTCTAGTTTCATGGCGTTCTCATGCAGACTGGAGGGTTCTAGTTAAAGGCATTAACCTCTCAATCTAATTCTAGCGCTCTTGTACGGCTTTACACCACTTCCAAAAGTTGGGCTTCATTGGCACGTTTGGAAGTGATGGACAGGCCGGGTTTTCCTAAAAAAAAAAATGAATAAAAAAAGTAACCTGTAACCCTTGCACACCCGGATTGTTTGATGGGTCTGATTGACAAACGCCCTGTGGGGGGGCGACGTAACTTCCTCAAATCACTTCGCAGTACAAATGCAACTTGCCAACCCGGCATTTTGGTTTCCTCATCGGTTTCGCTGTTCGTGATTTTTCTATTGCTGAAAGTCACATGATCGGCAAACCCAACTTCTGCTTTTCATGTTTCACGTTCCTGAAACGGCCGAGTGCATCAGACTTGAGTCAACTTCCTCATGTGGGCCGAGAACCTACAAGCAGGACGTGACGCTGGACTGTGTACTCTGTACGGGGAACTCCGTTCTATTACCCTTATATGACAGACCAAAAGACTTGCTGTAGATGTGTTGTCACTTTTCTGTCTTTTTACTTTTTGTATGGAAGACTCTGCGTGGTTTTCAATAAAGTCTGTGCACCAGAGACCCGGGCTATGTGGATTATTTCATGGCTTAACAACCATACAGGTTATACTGCTGGGACCCAACAAGACACTGATCATAGAGGTTATGGAGAGAAAGGACTGTACGGTTATCCTTTCTTGTTGGATCCTACTCACAGAAGTCATGGTTTCCATATGCTGCACTGATGAAGGCCAAGGAGCCTGAAATGGCTGTATGAGGTTGGGATACCAACTATACACCAGCGGTCCTGGATTTGGGGGTGCAGAATGATATTCATGGCTCTGCCCGCTGTCCTAAAATGTGTAAATCCTTATTTCTGAGATGTGATGGAAGAAGACATGAAGCCTTTCTGCTCTAAGGCTCTACTGTGCTATACAAACATACTTGGTAGAAGGGCTTTTTGATAGTACCTTCTCAGGCTATCCTGTATAGTCATGCGGCCTCGATGGGTTCAAAGTTCTATCTATAGAATCTATAGACATAACCTGGTTGACCCTAAACCTGACCAACTGAAGCAACCCCAGATCATAACACTGCCTGAAATCCAGGTGGTGGCTTTTTTTTTTTAGCTGGGCAGTGTATTTCATATGATCCTCAGCTCCACCTAGTGGCCATAATGGTGTATTTTCCCTATGATCCTCAGCTCCATCTAGTGGCCATAATGGGGTATTTTCCCTATGATCGTCAGCTCCATCTAGTGGCCATAATGGTGTATTTTCCCTATGATCCTCAGCTCCATCTAGTGGCCATAATGGGGTATTTTCCCTATGATCCTCAGCTCCATCTAGTGGCCATAATGGGGTATTTTCCCTATGATCCTCAGCTCCATCTAATGGCCAGTTATACCAAGAACATTCATTTTTGCCCCATTTTTCACAACAGCTGGTTCATGAAAACTTGGGCGGCTGGCAGCTCTACTAAAACAATTTGCTGGAAATAGAATATCTGCGAAACATTTTGTACAACCGTTGTCTGTTATCACAGCAATAAAATGAAGTTCTGTATCTGGCAAGATGAACCCAGCCTGTTCTTTACAAAGCCAAAGTCCAGCTTTCCTCCACCTAACCTCTCCATAAAGAGCTTCTGCCATAGGCTTAAAGTGCACCTGTCATTTAGCAGTGGGGC